CCCCCCCCCCCCGGGCTGATCAATACTACAATGGTCTGTGGAATCAAACGTTGCCGTATGCTAGGCTATACATGAGAAGAAATGAAGTGCATGTAGATCTAATACGCAAGGTTTTGAAAATTGGTACATTTATTCCAATGTAAAGCGCATTGTTTTGTCTTTGTAAAGTGTTTCACGGCGCTCACAACTGCAAAAGGTCATATGAGCGCGCGGGACACGCCTAATATTTTCAGTTGGTAGGAAATTTTGAAATTTGCCCGGGTGGCTGCCGAAGCCTACTCTTATAGATTTTAGACCACCAAGGGATCTTTAACGTGCGCAACTTGCACACAGGCCCTCCGAGATTTTTCGCCCTTGTCCGAGAAGGCTAGGTGTAGATCTTTCTTACCAGAAGGTCAGGGGTGTGGTAGAAAGACAGCAGTAAGGAGGAGCCAAGGAGTAGCGGTAGAAAGGCTGCAGAAAGAGTCAGGAGCCCAGAGGAGGGGGCAAAGGAGGTGACGGGGTGGGGGCAGAAAGTGGAAATGAAAGCAGACAACAGAACATTGCTAGAGAACAGGAAAAGAGGTGAAACGAGACAATTTTAGAGAAGAACATTTTTCGGTCGCTACCCGGATTCGAACTCGGGACCTTTGAATGAGAGGCCAACACCTTAACCTCTAAGCCACGAGAGCCCCCTTGTAAAGCGCATTGAGCTACTTTTTTTGGGAAATGCGCTATATGAATGTTATTATTATTATTAATTATTATTATTATTATTATTGTTATTATTATTATTAATTATTATTATTATTATTATTGTTATTATTATTATTATTATTATTATTATTATTATTATTATTATTATTATTATACACAGCAACACAACTTGTTCGGCAAACAACACGCCATAGAAGATAGATGACACGGGCGTGCATTTGAACTAATCAGCCCTTTTGCGATGCGTGTGTTTGGGTAGAGTTCAGTGTAGGTCTGTTTTCCTGGAATTTCCCAGCAATTAATATCACTCTTCGGTATGGCATCAAAGAAACGAAAATGTCTCTCATTTGAAACTCAACTACTCTTGATTGAGAAATTCGAATACATTATAGATCTGCATTACTTGCTCGGTGCCTGTAGGTTTAATTATCTACACAAAAATCTCATGTCTGCTACTGTATTGTAACGAACACTCGGATTTAAAGAAATTGGTAGAGGTTGTGAAAGAGGTAAAAACAGAGGCAGTAGCTGGGGCAGCGGCAGCAGCAGCAGCAGTAGTAGTAGTGAACTCTGTGAAATGAAACAGGAGCAGACCCCCACCAGGGCAGTGCTACTGACTGAAGTATTAGTTGTCTTAGGCCATTCCCAAAGGGTGGGAGGGGGACATTAGCATGTTCTTATGCACAGTAGAATTGTAAATGGGCTGATTTATCAATCCCATGCTCATATTGTGCCGGAGCAGCACAAGAGGAACAGCTGCTTTTTTTCCCCTTATCCTTACTATCGTCATTTTCCCTCTAGATCTACTTCTTTTGTATGTTTGTCACTCTCTTGTGAACTGTTATTTCCGGGGTGCCTTGTTAGTCGAAGCAGACTTCGTGCTGTTGAGGCCAGAGAGGTGAGCAGAGTAAGTCTGATTCACTCTATGGACTTCTCTATTGACATCCACCCATTGGCACTCATGAGTCATATGACATTATGCAGTTGCGAGTGCCGTAAAAACCTTACTAAAGCAAACAAGAGAGGAAATTCTGTCCACAATCTGTAAGAAACTTTGTGCCGGATAACAGAGTCAAGTGTGGCATCCAGGTCCTAAACGATAAAATGCTCCTCTGTCCTCACCTTCTCTGATCTTTAAGGAGGCAGTCTGCTTTGACCCAGAAGCATTTGATTAATTATACATTATGTCGGCTTATTCTTTTTCTTAACTCTATCCGTACGCCCTAGGGTCATTTTGGTACCCCCGAGGTTGTATTTTTCACATTTTAGAATAGGCTACTTCTAGTACGAAGATCTCTTTGAAACTTTCAGTATTTCTCAAAAAATCACTTTGACAGACTGCTATGCAAAGCGAACGGATCGGATTAACGAGTAAGTTTCCTCTTTGGAAAGTGGTAGCACAGAGTTCCCCACGTCGTATGGATACGACGGTAAAACTCGACGTACGGATACGGTTAACGTTTGAAGAAGCTGCATGCAAAATCTGCAGCGGTGCCCCAATGGCCAGCCAGTCTGCGGGATAGGTGAGGGTGAAGCATAGGCTAGTACATGATGTTAGA